ATTGGGTCACACTTATACGCACATTAACTTTAATGGCATCCCAGTCTTAGTCCGGATGGTTCAATAGTGAGTTGGCCCCCTCTTTGCAGCTATAACAGCTTCAACTCTTCTGGGAAGGCGTCCACAAGCTTTAGGAGTGCGTCTATGGGAATGTTTGACCATTCTTCCAGGGGCGCATTTGTGAGGTCAGGTACTGATGTTGGACGAGAAGGCCGGGCTCGCAATCTACTCTCTAATTCATCCTAAAGGTGTTCTATTGGGTTGAGGTCAGGACTCTGTGCAGGCCAGTCAAGTTCTTCCACCCCAAACTCGCTCATCCATGTCTTTATGGACCTTGCTTTGTGCACTGGTGTGCAGCCATGTTGGAAAAGGAAACTGTTCCCACAAAGTTGGGAGCATGACATTGTCCAAAATGTCCTGGTATGCTGATCTCTTAAGAGTTCCTTTCACTGGAACTAAGGGGCCAAGCCCAACCCCTGAAAAAAACCCCACACCATAATCCCCCCTCCACCAAACTTTACACTTGGCACAATGCAGTCAGGCAAGTACTGTTCTCCTGGGAACCGCCAAACCCAGACACATCCATTGGTTTGCCAGACAGAGAAGCGTGATTCATCACTCCAGAGAACACGTCTCCACTTCTCTAGAGTCCAGTGGCGGCGTGCTTTATGCCACTGTATCCGTCACTTTGCATTGCACTCTGTGATATAAAGCTTGGATGCAGCTGCTCGGCCATGGAAACCCATTCCATGAAGCTCTCTATGCACTGTTGTTGTGCCAATCTGAAGGCCACATGAAGTGTGGAGGTCTGTAGCTATTGACTCTGCAGACAGTTGGGGACTTCTGTGCGTGCTGTGCACTTCAGCATGCGCTGACCCCGCTCTGTCATTTTACGTGGCCTACCACTTTGTGCCTGAGTTGTTCCCAGTTGCTTCCATTTTGTTATAATACCACTTACAGTTTACGGTGGAATATTTAGTTGCAAGGAAATTTCACAGATGGACTTATTGCACAGGTGGCGTTACCACGCTTGAATTCACCGAGCTCCTGAGAGCGACCCATTATTTCACAAAAAAAGCAGTTTTGGTTGGAGTCCCTTTAAGATTCAAAAATGTGATTAAATGACATTCCTACTCTTATATGGTGAGGCAAAATCACCATGCCATCACTAAAACTGCGTAAATCATCCTTGTCCTGATTAACAAAGTGCAGAAGGCTTTCACTCAAATATATTTAAACAAACAAGCTTCCTTAATAAAAAAAATGCATTACACAATGGAGGATTAGGCTTATCTGAACTTCATAGAGCTGTCTCGAAATTATTTTTTCCACTTGGATCACAAGGTCATATGCATACTTGTGAATGCACTTCAGAGAAATCCTTTAATTTTAAAATATGGTATGCTATACTGTGAGATGAAATAACAACAATCAGTTCAACTAATAAAAGGCTGTAATATCCAGAACTTTTTTATTCCTAACTCAATAAAGATTTGTTATCCTACTCATTTCATTGCAGATTTACAAAAACTGGAAGTTTTGTTCACTAAATTCATAAAGCTTACTGGAATCCAAAGCATTTAGTGAGATAAATGTAGCAAACGAATATCCTGATGGTCTGTTTGATATAAAACATATAGCATATGTACATATAGCATATATACATGTAGTGAATATAGCTGCTTACAGTCCATCAAATAAAATATAAAAACTCTTAATAATATGTTTGCATTACAAAATGGTAATTGGCATTGAAAAAATGTGAATACAAAACTTGGCTCCAGAAAGGCATTCACTAACTATAGAACATTTTGTTTTTTACTTACACAGAGCAAAAGCCACATTAATCTTTTTTACTTTGTTTGAAACTGTTACTTTAAAACTATTGCAATCAATTACACAACCTTCAACACTTTATTAGTATGTTGCCTTCAGTGCATCAACGTTCCCCAGCCCAAAGTTTCACTGAATCCTTTTGTTGAACCATAAAAAATATACAAACAAATGAAGGATTCAAACTCTAGTGGATTTAAAGATGTATGTAGGCCATCTGGGAAATTAAACACCTCAAGCAAGTTCTGTGTCTGCTTTCTCTTCTTCATGAATTACAGTGGTAGTGTTTAGCCAATTTTCATCTTGCATTTATGTCTCCTATTTAAAGTAAGGGAAAGATTCAGCATTTGCTATTCTGTGTGCTTTGATGGTGCTTGTGATTTTATAGCATGGATTGGATCAGAACTTATTTTGGGGGCTAATATATTAAAACGGAGGAAAGGAATATGAGCACAAAGAATCATTGCACATACCAATCTCCAATCATGTTTTATTTTCCCACAAAATTAAAGGTGGAACTTGATAGGTTGCAAATGGCCACGCCTCGAAATGTTAGCTCATTTTAATTTCTCCTACTAGTGCCAGAAAACAGCTCTCATTATGCAGTTGTGAACAGTGACCCTCCAGGAGTTAAAACCCAATTCCAGCTTACACAATGCCTCAGATCTCAGACCCTGCAGAGCCCACTATAGAGAGTCTATGGTGGGCTCTGCAGGGTCACTCTCCGCTGGGACTCTGCAAGTGGCATAACTAGCAATCACGGGGCCCCATACAAGATTTTGCTATGGGGCCCTGTAATTTCTAGTTACGCCCCTGGCTCTAATATATAGAGCTCTAATATATTGAACTCTAATATATACAGAAGTCTGATATATAGAGCTCTAATATATAGAGCTCTAATCTATAGAACTCTAATATATACAGAAGTCTGATATATAGAGCTCTAATATATAGAACTCTAATATATATATATATATATCTAACTCTGATATAACTCTCTATAAACTCTGCTATAACGATCTATAACTCTATAACCCTGCTATAACTCTCTATCTCTCTCAATAAATCTGCTGTCACTAACTCTACTAGAACTATCTTTCTCTTTATCTCCTACAACACACTAGATAGAGCCGCGGTGTCAGCAGCGTTATATAGTGTGCTGCAGGGTCTTAGCTGTGAGACATGATTGGGCAGAGTCATCATGACTTTGCCCAATCATGGCTCTAAATGTGTACTGAGACCTGATTGGCACAGTCTTGCCCCTGACCTGCGGTCAGGTGCAAGACTGTAGCCGATTACAGTTTGAGGGCGCAGTGCATTGTGGGATGGTCTGCGGTCAAACAGACCGCGAAAATCCAGCAATGTTCGGCGTTCAGCGAACGCTAGAACAGGCTATGTTCGAGTCAAACCTATGTTCGTTTCGAACATGCAGCCCATCACTAATCAGCAGCTCCCAACTGTAGCTGCATCACAAAGAATATTATTGCTCAACAGTTTTATGTTACACATGACCTTGCATGTTTTCCACTATACATATTTTTCTGGCTTTGTTGTGGGCTGTTCTGCTCTCTGAACATGCTACCTTTGCTTATGAACAGTGGTTTGTCTTCAGTCAAGGAAAGATTGTACAAACCAGTCATCCAAATTAAAAGTTAAATGTTGCCAATCTTTTTTTCCTATACAGTACCTAATTCATAACCAAAGATGCTGTGACAGTAGTCAATGTTTAATGAAAAGTTACAGCTTATGAGCACCTGAAAAACAATTTTAAACATGTTTTTGTTTCTATGATTACACTTTTTAATGATTCTGAGCAACTAATGCAAATCCATCACATAGCAAACTGCTTTTAGTTATTCTTTTCTCTAGCTGCTTCACAAGCTTGGCAAAGCCAACTAAAAACTAAGGAAGCTTGAAACCACAAATGGCCTCCTTATTTACTGACCAACTCTGAAATAACAGAAATTTTTGAGGTAAATAAGAAAACTAAAAGTGAATATGCAAAACAATGCACAGTGGCACAACCTGACAATAGTGAAAATCTTATTTTTTTTAACTTACTTTCTCTGAATAGGAAAATAAAGAGGCCAGTGCTATTCCTACCTTTACCCTCTGTTGCTGTTGTCTCAGTTTCTCTGTATCTCTTGGATCACCTTGGGACTCAGAAAGAATTGTCTCTGCTTCAGTTAGCCACTGGTTGAGGTTATTCATGTCATCCTGCAGTTTCATCCACTTCTCCAGCGATCTGTCAAACCTCCTGAGAATCAGAACAAAGTAAATGTTAAAAACAAAGCTTTAGGAAACAGTAGCTCATTGTTTTATAGCACATTAATCAATCAATGTCTAAAGTATATACAGTGTGTGTGTGTGTGTGTGTAAATGCAATTTGAGAGAAGAGGATGTTCACTCACCTACCTTAGTGAATAAAGTTAAAGTATATGCATAGCCAAGACTTTTGAGTTTTGGATATAATAGAGAAGACAGGTGACAGACTAAAACTGTCATGCAGTACAATTAGTGCTGGTCTGTGTATGGACCAGCAGTCATTGAGTTAATGCTTTTGCGGGGTTCCTCAGGGCCTGAAGCAGACCCCCAACAGCAATTTAGGTGGTCCCAGCATTATGATCACAGCGATAGGTAATCACCGTGATCACAATGCTGTGACAACCATGCTGTGACAACAACTGAGCCGACTTTCAGCTCACTGTGTTGTGGAGCTGGAAGCCGGCTTAGTGCATTACAAAGTGATACAAAGTATCTCTGAGAAGAATACAGTATCTCCTCAGAATACTTAGTATCAAAATCCCCTGTAAATAAAAATTATACGATTTAGTGCCCCTCTAGTTAAAAAAAGTGAACTGTTTTTTAAAGTTTTAAAGTTTTGAAAAATTTAGAAAATTAAAAAAATTCAAGAATTATTTTTTTTAAAATATGTTTAATAAAAAATGATAAGAAAATATAGTGGTGAGGAAGCTTTTAATGTTAGGAGACAAACATACAACATTCTAAAATTGTATTTCACTCCTTGTATTTTGTGACCTATAACTCCCCAAAAAACCGATATCCCAAACATATGATATACCCTATGAATCAGGAAAAATAAAATGATTTATTATGAATGACTTTTTGTCAGCTACACTAATTATTAACGTAACTGTTAAAAAAGTGGGTTTTTTTTCATTTTCTATACAACAAAAGAGTTTTTATATGCATATGTCACATCAAATTAAAGCCCATTTGTCCTTTCAAAAAAACAGTATATAATATATGTAGGTGCAATGAATAAAGAAGATGGAAATTATGGTTAAACAAACACATATTAAAAAAGTTAAATTTCTCCGATCCCCAGGAACGAAAACATTTATTGAAGCTGTGTCACCAAGTGGTTAAGCAGCTGTACATATTGGGATAAGGAAATCCTGATGTTTACTGGCTTTTTGCTAAATGTTTCCGCGTAGCTACATGTTTCTATGCTACAACAAAGTTGCAGGCTTCTGATCGTTCTGGGAACGATCAGAAGCCTTTAGTGACACAGTCTACTGTTATTTGCTGTTGCTAGCAAGTAGTCCCTGACTGTCTTTTGTAACATGCAATCACTCTGTCAGCCTTTTGTAACTTGGAAGAAGTCAACAATGGTCTTTTTTAACATGTGAGCAGTCTCCAACAGGCTTTTGGTCCATGGGAACACTCTCTGTCAGTCTTGTAACATGAAAATTAATAGTGTATTGCAGGTATGGTTAACTAAGCTGCTACTGAAAAAATGAATTAAACATTTTGTGATTTACAAAAAAAAATCCTCATCCTGATCTTTCTTTTCTGTGCTGACTAAGCATATGCTGACTTAATCCTACCCACTCACAGTAAGCTGCACCCAATCTCCATCACAGAAAGACCGCCCCTTATTCTCATTTCCTCCAGTTCCCAGGTACCCTGGCCTGACACTTTTGGCATGTGCTTCACATTGCAATTGTGTGGCACTATCAGAAGGAGGACTTAAGAAATATTATGTGTCATGGTTGTGTGAATTACAGGAATGGCTGAACAGAATGACAAATATTTTTGTGCACATATTTGTATTTCAACAGCACATTTATCTGTTTAGCTAAAAACAAGAAATAGGATTTAATAAATGTTTATTTTCCATCTCTGTTTTAGTTCATTAAAGTGCACATAAAAGTGCACGTAATAAAAACTAACATGATTCAACCCAGGGTTAGAATTTTTATGATGTAAAGTTCTTTTTTTCAAGGTCCTTAACTAATATTATTCATATGGCAGAACTGTAATAGGACTAAATATAGAATTGTTTATATAGGCTCCCATACTATAATAAAAACAACAATTGCACGCAGTGCTAAATAATAACATTAACATCTCAGCGTAATAACTGCATCAGTTTAAAGGATTAGAAGAAATCACTATCCGAATACCAAAACTGACTCATTATTTATGTGAATATGAAATCAGATGTCATAGATACAAAAATAGCTGAAGTATGTGCAGTTCTGCAGTTCTGATTTTACACATAGAGTAATATACACATCAAAGTGAATTGTGCTGGTTATTTAAAAATGGTAAATACTGTGCAAATGTAATTAGTACGTGTAATTTCCACAACATAGCTGCAAAGGCTGTAAAAGATGTTTCTTCACTATTGGGTACGCTTATCAGTAGAGGCCACATGCCCAGCCATCACTGCAAGATAAGTACGTATCAATAAGCTCTTCTTTACATGCATGATTTATTTGTGTGCGAGACTGAGATAATCTTACACATAATAAAAGGACATATTTTTCATGTAGTGTTGTACATTATACACAGATAATACCTTTAAATTATAAAATGAAACATTTGTGATAACAACCCTTTATGAACTGACACGTCTTTAACCACTTGAAGACCAGGTGTTTACACCCCCTTTCTGTCCAGGCCATTTTTCAGTATTTGGTGCTGCGGTACTGTGACTGACATTTATTAAGTCATGCAACACTGTACTGAAATTAATTTTATATAATTTTTGGGGGACAGATATAGCTTTCTTTTGGGGGTGTTTAATCACCACTGGGGTTTTCATTTTTTTTACTATATAATGGAAGAATTACAGAAAATATTTAAAAGAACTGTTTTCGCTTTATTATGTTATGAAACAAATTGTATTACCCAAATTCTTGGTAAAATATAAAAGATGGGGTCACGTTGGATATTTAAACACCAAACACGTCAAGCTTTAAAATCGCACATGCCTGTGAAATTGCAAAACGTTACTACACCTAAAATTGGTCATGATGCTTTAAAGTCTTTTACCGTTCATCAATTTAGATCTGCCGAAGGGGGCGTGGCCCCGGAAACGCGTTATCGTAAGGAGTCCTGTGCTTATACACAGGTTTCTGTGCAGCTTGTTTCAGATGTCATCCAGGCATTATGTTTTTATTGTTCCTTCAATATATAGCATTAAAAAACTATCTACACTATGGTGGTCGCCTTTCTCTTTTGTTTTTGCTCATTAATTTAGTGTTAACAGTGATTGATGGCCCTAGAATTATGGCCCTTACTCTGACATTCACAATGAAATGTAACGTGTGGCGTAATCGTCGTTTTCGCACGTGGGCGTACCCAACGTATGTTTACAAGTGTATGTGGGGGTGGGGGACTTTAAAAAAATGTTGTGGTTTTTTTTGTGTGACTAATTTTTTGGGTGATTTCCATTTTTTTAACTTTTTTTTTACACTAAGAAGCACCTATGTGATACAAATTACAGTGGCAGGTTCTCTTTATGGGGTCACCGAGGGACCCCCAAAGAGGCTGATGAAGCAGAGATCTGCTTCACCAGCTTCTCTCTGGCTTCTGTAGCCAGAGAGTGACAGCTGAATGCAGAAGTGATATAATAAACTTCACTTCCGCACTCACAACACCGGAGGGGAGATCAGAGGGAGATTGTGTACTAACTCCCTCCGTATTCCCTGCACAGCACCACAGTGCCAGTCCCTGCCCAGCACAGAGCACAGGTAGCCCAGGATCGCGTCAGCGGCGGAGGGGGGTGGGCATGAAAGCACAACATACAAGCGATCGGGCATCTCTACAGACGCCAGACCTAAAAAGACCCTTAAAAATTACAGGTACAATCACAAAAAATTATACTTGTGATGTTCTTTCTTTCCATAAACATTTTTTATTGACTTGCAATGTGCCTTCAAACTTTCTAAAACAAATTGGCTACTTCAGGAAAGTCAATGCCATAGCACAGCCCACTTCTTGCACGTTACAGCCCTCTTCACTTCTGGGTGTGTTTCATTACTCTCTGTGCTGCCCAAGCTCCTCCACTTCTCCCCTCACCTACCTACATAACCTTTTATATAGTTGCTGGGGAAGAATTGAATATTACAGTGTCACTTGAGCGAAAGCTGGGTGCTGCCATCCAAGATGGCAGTACCCAGCAGCAGTTTCAGAGTCCACGCAAGGGAGGATCTTAAGGGTAAATTACATGAATAAAATATGTTAAATGCATGGATTTTTTTTGTTGAAATGAATGGTCTGGCAACACGGCCTCTTTGAAGAGAATCAGTCAGTAATGAGCATGTATGAATCTGAATCTTCACTCTTAAGTTGTTATAATAATTTAGTTGTATCCCTCAAGAATGGCATGTGCTGTTATTCATTTGTATTTTCTCTGCCAGAGCATAATGTCAGCACAATGTCAGGCCTTTGTGGAAGCTGACCTGTCTCCTGACTGAGCTCACAACTGTTACCTAACATTCTGTTCAGTGTGATGGAGGGCCAAACCACCAATTAACAAAGTCTTTAGTTTTCTATCACTTCTTTCAGCATGTTTTTAAGTGTGTGTTATCAGAACTGAGCTCAGACAGGAGGTAGATTGGCCTTATAGCCTGGCATTCAGCCTGCAAAACACATATAGTTTCTGTACAAGCTATTTTTTAATTGCTTGTTATTAAAATTACCTTTCTATTTCAAAACTGCAGCTGCTGTGTCATAGCTTCTTTGCTATACAGGAACCTGGTGGCATTCTGTGCATGGTATGTGTATAGAACACCACTACACATCTTATTTCCTGCTGTGTAGTTGGCTCATTGCTTTTTCCTGATGTTTTTACTGAACTAAAAATGAAATTTCAGGCATGCCCTGCAATGCGAGTTTGATTCTTGGTGAGATACTTTCTAAAGCTATAGTTAATGCTTTTTTTTTTTATACAACACAGAGTCTGATCAGCTGGTGATCATGAGGACAGATCCTCTTATTCAA